ACCACAGCTTTGTAGTATATTTTTGGGTTAGGGAGTGAGATGCCACCCACTCCCCTCTTCTTGTGCAGGATTGCTTTGGCAATACGAGGTGACTCCAGACAAATTGTATGATTATCTTTTCTAGATCTGTGAAGAATGTCTCTGGCACTTTGATTAGGATTGTGTTAAATATGTAGATTAATTTGGGTAGAATTGTTATCTTGATTCTATTAGTTCTTCCAATCCAGGAACATGGGATGTCCTGCCACTTTTTTGTGTCATTTTCAATTTCTTTTTTTAGCTTCTCATAGTTTTCCTTGTGGAGGTCTAACTTCTTTGATTAGATTTATTCCTAGGTATCTTATACATTTTGTGGCTATGGTAAATGAAATTACTTTTTAAAGTTCTATCTCAGTCTGCCTGCTGTTTCTATATAGAAATGCTATAGATTTCTGTATGTCGATTTTGTATCCTGCAACTTTACTGTATTCATGCATTACTTCCAGGAATTTTTTCATGGATACCATTGGGTCTTCTATGTATATCATCATGTCATCTGCAAATAGAGAGAGTTTCACTTCTCCTTTTCCTATTTGAATGCCTTTTATTTTATTCTCTTTTCTGATTGCGTTGGTGAGGACTTCCAGTACTATACTGAAAAGGAGTGGAGAAAATGGGCATCCTTGTCTTGAACCAGTTTTCAGTTGAAAACCTTTCAGCTTTTCTCCATTCAGGATATTGTTAGCTATAACTTTGTAAGCACAATAAGCATTGATACTTTAAAGTCCATGCCTTGTAATTTCGCTCTCTGGAGTACTTGTGTGTTTGTGTTTGATATCTGTCATTTGTGTAGAGATTTGGTCATGTTGTCTTATTGCCATGTGGAACTATTCGTTTTTTACTGTTATATTCAAAACTTGCACATTTATTTGTAGAAATATTTTCAGGTGTACAATAATGTTGCTTCCTATAAAGTAGATTGTCTTTTACTTCCGCCAGATGGCAGGGTCTCTAGTGATCCACAATCACCTTAATTCAAAGTCAGGTCTTGACATACTGTGAGCAACTCTAATGACTGCCAATTACAATCCAAATAAACCAGTCTGGGGTGGTTTCCTTCCATTTCACTTATGTTACTCCAGTGCAGCTTTTTTGGGTTTCCAACCTTACGCGTGGGATGGTTTACCAAGGCCCTCTCCACAATGAACCATGAATTCCTGCTTATGTCCCTCTGACAGCTTTAGGCTCTCAGAAGCCCTGTTTAGTCATTACCTATCTCCTCTGAATTGACCAATACTCCCAGGAAAAAGCAGTGCCAAAGGCTGGAATGTGTCTCCTCCCTGGCCTGAGCCCATGCACTCTACTCTCTTGTGAGCTCTTCGCAACTTCTATGAAGAGTTAATAATCACTTTGTCCAGACATTTTTTTTTCCCCTTCACTCATCTTCACTGGGAGGATTAGTCCAAATTACCTGAGCAGCTGTTACCAGAAATGGAATCTCTAAATAATTTAAAAGAATGCAGAGTGCTTGGGCCAGGCAGTGGTGCAGCTATCAAACGTGCTGCTTCATGAGGCAGTTCCACATGAGAAGGTTCCCCGTTCAAGACCTCCCTTAATACACCAGCCATGCACATGCCATGTTCTGGGGTTGACTGAAACCTGGGAGTGTCAGGACCTAGTTGGCAGTCTCTCACCCTCTCTCTCAAAAATAAACAAACTTTAGAAGAACGAGGGTCTTTCATGCCCTTGTTATGATCACTTGACTCTGAGCATGAACTTCTTAAAGTGTGGCATTAGTTGGGTTTGATTAACCTTGATTTGAATTAAAATTGAAGGTATATTCATTAAGCAGAGCAGATGAATTAAGTACATGCTGAAAATATGTTTATTTTACTTTCAAAAACCCTAATTATTCATGCAACATACGGATTAAGAGTATGAGTCCAAGAGTCCAATGACCAGGACCCACCATCTACAAACCATGTCTCAGCTACTCATCTTCTCTAGGTCCCAGTTTTCATATCTACAAAGTGGTGGTAATAAAAATAGAACATCATCATTGGACTGTCGTAAGGATTGAGTGAAATTATACAGGAGAAGTGTTAATGGCACTCTCTGGCAATGGTAAGAATTTATAATTATAAATAATTATACTTTTTATTACCCATCATTTGCCAGGCACTGTGCCAGGTCCTGAAAACGCAAAGATAGTAAGAGAAAACTTGAGACTTAAAGATCTCATGGTCTAATCCATGAAAAGGATAATTAGACAAGCAGCAACTGCAAAGAATAGTAAGTGCTAGAGAGGTAGCAGCAAAGGCAGAGGCCCTCTGGCTAGCTCTTCTTTCCACGGAAGGCTCTGTGGAAAATGGGTTATTCTGGAGACAATGGTGCAACTATAAAACACAACGCTTGTAAAGCAATTCCCCATGGGAAGTTTCCTCTAGACGACCAGTTTTGTGATTCACCAGAACAACTCACCAGGCTCAGCAGATCATGCCCGTGGCTAGGTTTTTGTTTGTTTGTTTGTTTGTTCGTTTTTAAGAGGTTTTTGCCATAGGGCGCATGTGCTCACCAGAAAGACAGAGAGAGAGAGAGAGACAGAAAGCGAGAAATCACCCCCCAGTGGGGATGGCCACGCCGCAATCCCTTCTCCTCCATTCTCCTCTCGGAATCTTGGGCATGCATGCACACGCGCCCAGCGTGAGTTTAAGCCATCGGGTCCAGGACTCGAACCGCAGTCGACTACATGGGAGTCCAGTGACATAGCCATTATGCTAACTGCTGTTCCCCCCATGGCTAAGATTTATTGCAGTGAAAGATTGAAAGTAAAATCAGCAAAGTGAAAAGACACTGGGGTAAAATCCGATGGAAACCAGGCACATGCTCCCAGAATCCTCTCCCCATGGGGTCACACAGGATGCAGTTCATTCCTCCAGCAGTGAAATGAGGCAGCATGTGTGAGTGCTGTCTATCAGGGAGGTTCACCTGAACTTAGGGGTCCAGGGTTTTTGTGAGGCTCAGTCCTGCAGGCCCCCCTGCCTGGCATATACCAAGATTCCAGTTCCAAGAGGGCAAGCAGATATTCAGCTAAATCACATTGCATGTCATCAAACTCTGTGTGGGGTCGGGGGTCCTTCCCAGAGGAGACCTTGACCTGCATTTCGGCATATGTGGAGGGTTCTTAGGTAGATGAGAGGAAGTAGGCTCATCATATTGGTGCATGATACCTCTGGGGACTGCCTCAGGCACATGGTTGGGGAGGACGCAAGGTGTGTACTGACCTGGCTACTCTATGGTCTCCACTCTCAGAGAGCTGCAGTTCAAGGGAAATGACAGACACACTGTGGTCTACGTGCGCTGACGAGTTAACCAAAGAGCTGAGGGACAGAAATGCCCATGTTAATCTGAGGGTCCGGAGAAGGCTCCATGGAAAATGGATTATTCTGGAGGAGGTTTGCAGAGTGCTTGCCATTCTAGGTCTGAAAGTGTCTGAAAGTGGGCTGAAGAGAGTAGCTCAGCAGGGCATCTGCAAAATGAGACATGTAATGAGATGCCATTTCTATGCAAGCTGACACACACCAAGAGCCGTATTCCTGAGCTTCATGAACAGTGAAAGCACGGCAGTGCAAACAGGAAAGAGAAATACTATTCACAGGGATGGCTGTCTCTGAAACCAGGAGGGAGGGAAAAGACTGCAGGAGAGTCAGAAAAGATTCTAATTTAACCTGTAGGCTTGGGGAGTTTAAAATTTAAAAGAGAGAGAGAGTAATATCGTTCTGCATGACGGAATCACAGATTTTTTTTTGAGAGAGATTTTAGCTCTAGGGCCGTTATGCTCACCAGAGAGACAGAAAGGGAAAAATATCCCCCCGCCCCCGCAGGGGGATGACACGCAGCAGTCCCTTCTCCATTCTCCTCTTGGGATTTTGCTCATGCATACACACGCGCCCAGCATGAGTTTTAAACCACCGGGTCTGGGACTCAAACTGCTGCCAACTATGTGGCAGTCCAGTGACATAACCATTAGGCCATCTGCTGGTCCCAGATTCACAGATATTTAATACAATATTATCTATGGTGTGAAGTTTTTTTCTTTATTTTTTCAGATGTTTTTGGTTTGGGTTTGTTTGTTTGTTTGTTTGTTTGTTTGTTTTTTGAGAACTGGTACATGCACTAGCAAGAGAGAGAGACAGAAAGAGAGGAAAAGTGAGAACACACTCCCCAGGAGGATGACCACACTGTAATTCCTTTCCCTCCATTCTCCTCGTGGGACTTTGGGCACATACACACACACACCTGGTGTGGTTTTCTAAGTCACCAGGTCTGGCTTTGAACTACGTAGTGTGCCATGTGGGATCTGGCACCTTATCCTCCTTGCCACCAGCTGGCTCATGAGATTTCTTTCATAATTTAAAGAAATACACTTTTAGAAAGAGACTGGGGTGGAGATGGAAAGAAGGCTACAGAATGGTGAGGCTTGAGGGTCGGCTCAAGACTGCCTGTCTATTTTGACCAATGATAGGAACAGAGGTCTTGCAAGTTGTTTGAGCCAAGGGCTCCTGGTAAGATTTAAGGTTTAGGCAAGTCACTCCCCTGTAAAGTCATCCCGATGGTGACCCAGGGAGGCCCAGCTGGGGCTTAGAGGAGATGCCAAGATAACGACTCTCTTGGCTCCCTGGGGCCCACCTAGATGAGGTGAGCAAGCTCAAAGGCAGCAAGTATATCCCAAGACTGGTGTGAGTGTGCGCACATATATGTATATAATGTGTCTGTGTGCATGTGTATGAGTGCATACATGTGTGCATATGAATGTGTATGCGTGTATCTGTGAGTGTGTGTATGAGTCTGTGTGTGTACATGCGTGTGTATGTGAGTGTGTGCATGCCTGTCTGATGTGAGAGTCCCCGTCTCGAGTCTCCTCTGTCCTGCAGAAGGCATGTGGAGAAGAGGCAGAGGGGAGCTCAGGCCCCAGGCAGGACTGGGCCGTGATCTGTAATCACTGTGGTTCTTGGCTTCAGGAGCTGTACTGCAGCACCATGGGTGCTTTCCAGAAGTTCATGGATGTCCTGTTCCATCAGACACTCCCTGGTGCAACTGGCCTCCCACGGGCAGAGTGTGAGTACTTGAGGCAGGAGGTCCAGGAGAACGCCGCCCAGCAGCTGGGGCAATCGGATCGCTTCCGCAGACAGCAGTGGAGGCTCTTCCAGGACCGCCTGGAGGAAGACAAGCAGGTGCGGGCATTTGGGACCCAGGGGCTGGGGTCTGCGTTTTGGAAACTTATAAAGAATACTAAGAGCGTCCATCTCTTGAGCACCTCCTAGTGCCTCTCTCAATGCTCTACAGCGGTTGTCATTGCCAACCTTCCACAGCAGCCCACCGAGGAAGGGGAAGGACTGCAGGACGTCAGCTCCCCTGACAGGAAGTCAGCAGATAATGCCTTCAGCCAACAAGGGCAGCAAGGCATGTTCTAGAGTGAAGAATAAATAGCAAACCGATCGGAGGCAGAAAGTAAGGTGGTTCGGGGCGTGAGCTTGGTACAGAGGGGCTGTATACTGGGACTCCTGTCTTTCAGTGATGTCTATTTTTTTTTAATGATAGAGTACATATGTGTGCATGAGAGAGAGAGAGGGGAGCACCCTTGACAGGGTCTCATCACACCAGGATCCTCCTCCCCAGCCCTAGCTCCTCAGGGTCCTGAGGGCCTGGGCACGCATGCAGCATGTTTTCAGGTTGACCCAGGGATCTGAACTTGTGGTTGGCTGTGTGGCTTTCAGCCTTGCAGGGCACTGCATTACCACTGCACCACGGCAGCTGGGCCATTGATGAAGCCTGTCTGATTATATGCATAATGCTATAGGTGAAGTAGTGGCCCCAAAGATGTCCACTTCTAATCCCCAGCCCCTGTGCATACGTTACCTCACATGGCAAGAGGAACTTTACAGATTATTAAGGATCTTGGGGTGGAGAGACTGTGCTGGATTATCTGGGCGAACCTAACGTAATCCCAAAGATTCAAATAAGGGGGAGGCAGGAGGGTCACAGTCAGAAAGGAGATGTGACGATAGGAGCAGAGGTCAGAGTGGTACAGCCATCAGCCTGGGAATGCCAGTGGCTTCTATTAACAGAAGCTGGAAAAGGCAAGGACCAGATCCCCCTACAACCTGGAGAGAAAAGAACACGGTCCTACCGACCTTGTTATATTAGCCCACTAAGCTCCATTTCAGATTCTGACCTTCAGAACGATAAGAAAATTAATTTGTATTGTTTTTGTTTTGTTTTGTTTTGTTTTTTTGAGAGAGAGATTTTTGCTATAGGGTGCATATGATCGCCACAGACAGACAGACAGCAAGAAATCACCCCTCAGGAGGAATGACCATGCTGCAATCCCTTCTCCTCCATTCTCCTCTCGGGATTTTGGGCACGCACACACACACACACACACCCTGTGTGAGTTTCAAGTCCAGGACGTGAACCACCGTTGGCCGTGTGGGAGTGCAGCTCCTTCACCACTATGCTACCTGCTGCCCCAAATTTGTGTTGTTTTAAGCCACATGTGTGACAATGTGTTAGAGTAGCAACAGCAAAGTAATACAATACACATTAAAACATTAAACATTAAACCACTTAAATAAAAGAATTTCCGAATGTGGCAGACACATTTCCTTTCTTCTTGACCTTCTACACTGTACACTGGGAGCTCTATAAGTAGCCGTGGCTGAGGGACACTGTCCTGGCCTGTGAGCAAGGGTGGGACCTGCAAAGGGCTTCTCTTCCTGATACGAAT